CTCTTGCTTCAGCATGAAAGCTTTAGCAGTAGTCGTTGAAAAACACATTTCAAAAAATTTCAATTTTTAAAATTTCAAAAGAGCTGTTCAAACATATCAGCTCCTTTCAAAAGAGCTGTTCCAACATATCAGCTCCTTTCAAAAGAGCTGTTCAAACATATCAGCTCCTTTCAAAAGAGCTTTTCAACAGTTCCTATGATAGGAGCTGATATGGAACTGTCATACCCCTAATAGAGAGATGTGGTTTTAACCATCTTGTAGAGGATACTTTACTGCATCTTTTCATATATGGGGGCGTTCAAAACCACGATTTTCAAGTGGTGCACCTCACAGGTGCAAAAAGAAGAGACCGCCACCCGAAGTCAAAATGAAATTCTCTCTGTCCCCTGTCTCAGTCCGGTTAGCTGGGACAACCTTGAAACTAAGTCCACACGTAAGTTTTCGACTACGCCGAGTCTCATCGCAACGTTTGCTTTTAGAAGAAAATTCAAGAACCTAGTGGAAACCCATAGTAGGTGGAATAACCCATTTGTGGCTATTTTCACCGAAAATTAGAAGGTTCACAATCCAGTCAAAACTGGTCCATACCATTTCAAAGCTTCAACGTAAACTACATTTTATCTGCCGTACATTCTGGATTTCAATAAAGTTTTAAAAATAAATAGAAAGTCCTTTAGTTTTTGAAACGTTTTTCTAGAAATCTTTGGAAGTAAGGAAATGGTTCTAGAATATGCGGCTGACAAAATGCAGTATACATTGAAGTTTTGAAGTAGTTTGGACCGGTTTTGACTGAATTATGAATTTCTTAATTTTCGGTGAAACTAGCCACAAGTGGGTTATTTCACCTACTATAGCTTTCCACTAGGTTCTTGAGCTTTCTTCTGAAAACAGATGTTGCCAGTAGATTCGGCGTGGTCGACAAGCTGCGTTTGGACTTATTTTCCAAGTTGTCACAGTTAACCGGACGGAGACAGATGGATCAAAGCAAAATTCACACGGTCGGAAAACCATGATAGGTAGCGACCTCGAATCTGCGTACTTTCGAAGAGGACACTTTAGACTATCTAACCATATAATTTAAGAAAAAGTTTCATTTTGGCTTCGGCACCTGGCAGTCTCTTCTTTTTCACCTGTGAGATGCACCGCCTGAAAATCGTGGTTTTGAAAGCCCCCCATATACGAAAAGATGCAGTAAAGTATCCTCTCCGAGATGGTTAAAACCACATCTCTCTATCACCTTTCTTTCCCATGTTATTCAAAAACCATCCACAGCCATTATATTTTGAAATAAATAATAGTTGGATTACCGGATTTTTTTGGATGAAAATAGATGATATAAGCTGTCATTTATTAGTTTGATATTATCGAAGTCATTAAATACTAAACCTCCATAACTAATTACCGTTGCTTGGATTCTTGCTTGTTGCTGTTAGCGTAGTTTTTGTCGGCGTATCAACCGATATTGGTGAAGTAGATGACTCTCTCGAAGACGTTGCAGCATTGGTGGTGGCAGTGAGCTCTAAAAACAAAAGTAGAAGATAAACTGTCCATTATCAACACTACACTGTTGTTTTCTAGAAAGTATTTATTGTAGTGGATTTGAGTTCAAATGTCAGACTTGAAATCGTTTAATACATGAAAGCGATTGTATCTGAATTAATAATTTGTCTAGTCTAGGATAATCAATAATTTAGAGTAAATCAATAGTTTGATGCCATCAAACCAACTAGCTGAATTATCGGATCTTTTCGGATAAAAATAGACGACATAAGCTAGCTATCATTTATCAGTTTGATATTTTCGAATTCATTGAATACTAAACCTCCATAACTAATTACCGTTGCTTGGATTCTTGCTTGTTGCTGTTAGCGTAGTCTTTGTCAGCGTATCAACCGATATTGGTGAAGGAGATGACGCTTTCGAAGACGTTGCAGAATTGATGGTCGCAGTGAGCTCTAAAAACAAAAGTATAAGATAAACTGTTGATTATGAACATTACACTGTTATTTTTTTCTGAGAAATATTTAAAGCTTTAGTATGTTTGAGTTCAAATGTTACACTTGAAATCGTCACACAAGTGTTGATTGTGAAAATTAAGAGAGATAAAGATACGAAAAACAAATCGTAGGAAACTCTTGTACATACAGAGTGAACAAATACAGATACATTGTCACTGTTAGCTTGCGTCATGGAATGCGGCGGACAGATGATATCGCATTTAGTTTTATCAGATATATATCAAGATCATCTCATGTCACATGACTTAACAAGCTTTGATGAAAAACTATTCTAGAAAAATTTGCTTATCGGTACTTGTATCGCTTCGGTGTGCACCAGTATGGAATAATATGTTTTGTTTGGCATGGGTACGCGAACTAGTAAGTTTTTCTGCACTAATGAACATCGGTGCGATACAAATGCCGATAGAATAGTAAAGAAATGTTTAAGTCTCGCACTGGTGTGTATCAGTATCCGAAAAATCTATTATTCTTGCACCGGTGCGCACCCACACCAAATTTCGTTTGGAATCACAGTTTTATTTTGTCGACGACTGCATATATAAACATTAGAGTTATACTCCTAGCACTTTCGAGTGTCTTTTTAACTTTACATTTTACTTCTAAAAATAAGTGAATGACTGAGGGAGTGCTATAGGATTATACCACAACAATGTAGAATTGATATTTATATCAGTGCCGTCCTTTAATTAATACAAAATCTAATAAAGAAATCTAATAATAAGAAATACTTACTGGCTAAATACATTTCAGCATCTCTGGGTATTTTTTTGGTAGATGCAATATCGAATTCTAGAAATATGGCATCGATATGCGACACTGAATAATATCGATCCGGTATCGTTTTTGGAGTTACAAATCGGCATTCCCTGGTATCGATGCCAATTCGGCATTGTTTGTGGCATAGTCTGGACATTAGAGGACATCATCTGCTTTCTCAGAACATTCACATTTTTGAGATTCGCAACAGACTAATGCTTCGCTAATAACAATCATCAATATGCTCCTCAGAGAATTTCATCTAATCTAATACACTCCTAAGACGTTGTAGTTTGTATTAGGCGTATTTCTTCGATGGATTCTGCGCTGATCTTTATCAGAGAGGGCGAAACGTTTTTCATAAATAATTTCTTTCTTATGATGTTTACCTGTTTGTTTTATGATATTCGAATCATCGATCACATTTTCTTTTCCACGTGTGCTAGTGTCTATATTAACATAGTCGTTTGATTTTATTTGTTTTATAGGTATAGGGGGTTCTACTAATGGATACGGCGGCTGCACTTCTTTCAAATGTATTATATTCAAACCACCCTCAAAATGTGTCATACCTGATACTTCAAAATAGAAACCTGGTAGAAGTAAAATTTCATTTTCCTCTGGATAATGTGAGTATACTTGGATCATTTTGCCGTTTTCGCATTCAATACAAAATAATGTTTGTACACCAGATTTTTCCAGGAAACTGTTTGATTGTAAAGCATCAATTGAATCTGTAGTAGAACTAAAACCCCACCAAGCATAAGTATTTCCTTTTTTATATTGCGAGCTAAGGTCTTCTTTTGTTCCGCGCCAGACAATTCGTTTAGCAGAAGGTAATTTATATAATGCTGTTAAGAGTAATTTGAAATAATCTAACCATAATACCATTAGTTGAGCACGTTTTGTAGATCTTAATATTTGATTAAGTTGATAATATAGACTTTGTTTCTTTGTTTCACCTTCCATTGTGTATGAATAAATAGCTGCAGCCTCGTCTAAAGTTAAATTATCTGTTTGATCTTGACAATTTTTTTTTGCGATCACAACATTTGTCTGTAAATCATCGACTACAGATAATAAAGATTGAACAGCTTCGTCTAAAGATTTTAATGGTAAATTCTGATAGCCATTAATTGGGCGAAGCAATCTTCTCGGTTCATCACTGGTATCAAAATAGCGAAACTTGGGATCATCATTAGCTATAGCCATGGTTATTAATTAAAAATATTCACATGTACCTATTGCTAAATCAATTGTAATAGATCACGTCATATGAGAATACATTTTTGAAAGAGAAACTACAGCGTCTTCGTTTCCACGTGTTTCTATCTAGAGGATAAACTATTAAATGGTCATTCTTGCAGAAAAAACGTTAAAAGTAATAATTTTGCAACGTATAAAAATGAAATTTTATTGCGAATACAAAGGTAGATTAGAACTAAATAAAAAAAGTTTGTCTGCAAATAAAATGCACTTATTTTTTCTTTTCACGTTGTTTAGAACACCGTATAGACGCAAACGAAGCTATAGAAAATGAAGAATTTTTTATAATCTGTGGCGGAAAGATTTATATCAAGGAGGGTACGGAGTATTCCTACGCATAAAACGCTTCGTTACACTGCAGTCAATAGTTTGAATTGAAAAGTTCTAAACGAATAGGCGTACGAACGAATAAAAATCTGACGACTGTCTTTTTAGTAGAAATAAATTATACCATCTTTTGTATAGAAGCGTACGGCTCGACAATGTTGTAAACAGTATTTATACAAGGCCAAATTTTGTTTTTTAAAATCCTCACGTATCGACACATGATAAAAATTGGTTTGATTCAAAAATCGACGATTGCGATAAAATTCTTCACGCGCTCCATATGAACAAAACCGCACGATAATAGGTCTAGGTGCCGTTGCTCGTGGATCGCACTTACCAACACGATGTAATCAGAAAATATCTTCTTCAAACACTGAACTGTCTAGTACTTCCACTAAATACAATACTATTTGATTCGTATCTTCTCCTTGTTCTTCTTTGACACCAAATATTCGAAGATTTGTTCGCCGATCGTCCTGCTCGAGCTGATTCATTTTCTTGGACATCGAATCTTCATACAGCTTCACTCATTTCATACAGTTTCACTCAGTTTTTCGACTTGTTGTTGCTGTTTATTTTCTAATTGACCCAGACGATCAGCGAATGTAATAATTGTTTGATCATTTAATTGAAATTCTTTCTGAATTAATTCGACGAGTTACTTGATCAATTTATTCGACGATAATATCTTATCAATCAATTCTCCAAAGTGAAACTGCTTAATCCTCTTCTTCAAGGGATTTACCTGCATCAATATGTTTAGAAACTGAATTCTTCAAAGTTGACCTGGGGCCTGACATTGAGACTTTAAATATATTACGGTAGCTGTCACTACTGGAAAAGAAAACCTGTGTTGAAGCCACGAATAGAATGCGACTAGCTTCAAATGAAACAGAAAGTGATACTCTTCTTATTAGTCATCATAATGATCCACTAGTTGCTACTGCTATCTTGAATAAAGATCTTGAACGAGTGTATAACTGATCAGTAAGATGGTGCATTCCTCTCAATTTGAAGAAATGTGACAGAATTACATATTCATCTCGTTGACATCGTACTCGTGCTTTAGCGTTACCATCGCTGATGCTAAACTTTGTTCTTCTGAAAGAATATGAGGAAGTTAAATATTTGGATTTGTGGCTGACATTCGATTGTTGCCTTCATGTCTCACAATAAGTGGTTATTATGCAAAAATGTTTGTGAACTTGTATATAATTCTTTCATGTTCTCACTATTTAGTTACGGTTCTATTATATACTCGTTAACTACCGAAACTAATTTAAAAAAAATCGAATCTGTATAGTATTACGCAGCATTAGTTGTATTAGGAGCTATGAGAGGCACACCATTTGAGCGGGCTTTATCAATACTGGGATGTAGAGATGGATATTCTAACTTCTTTGATAACTAAAGTTCTTATGTAGTAGGGTAAAATTCTCGTGGAAGGAAGTAAAATTAGTAAAGTTCGATTCACTTAAATAGTCGTATCTGACGTATCACCTGCCAAGAAGTTAAAGATATTTTTGTAAATTTAAATCGAATGAAATATGAATGGTACTCTCATTCGGTTATGTGTATTTTTTCGCATATTAAAAGAATCATACTTCAATCATTTCATAAAACTTGTCACAATTGCATAATTAGCCGATAGTCACCCTTTGATAACACAAATTATCCTTTACATTGATAAACTAATCAAATCGTATATAGCAGAATTTGAATGATGTACAATAGAAGCAGACATATTGTTTCAAATATACATTCACTTTGTCGTATTCCATTAAGGGATTTTGGTCTATTTTACCATTGAAACTTTTCTAATTAATTCCAGCTAATTAGGAAAAAGTCTCATAGCAAATTCATTTAATTGAAACTAACTTTTTTAAGATCACCCAATAAATTTTTCTAATACCACAAATTTTCTTTAAATGCGTATAAGTTTACATTTAGTAACTTTAATACGTCTGAATTCATTTAATGAATACAAAAAAATTTAATACCTTTCCCCCTATCTTAAAAGTTAATGCATTTCGAAGTATGAAATTTGTTAATTTTCCTAACGCATTTTTACAAATTCAACATCTTCAAATACTTGGTTAACTAACGCTTTCAAACTTTTTAAATTTTTTTACACGTTCAAATGAATAAAAAAAATTTCTCGTCCATTTAATGGAGTCACATGTATTCCGATTAATTTGATGAGTTCACACGCCTTACGAATTAATGTATTCAAATGTGTGAACCCAAGCAAAATGGGATCTAGCTTAAGCTAGCTCAAGCTAGGTAAATGTTCCTTTTAGCTAGCTTAAGCTAGATCCTATTTTGCTTGGGAAATAGTTCAATGTATTCGAATGCCATAACCCTTTAAGTCCCCAAGATTTTAACGCTTGGTTTTTGCACAACCGCTTATGAAATATAATATGAAAGTAGAACATATGAGATTTCAGGCCAAACATATCTCAGTTTAGGCCATTAAGTTTCAGGCAGTTGAGGCAGAAAATGAGCTTATGGTGAAGAAATCAAGAATGACCGACAAAACGAGCTCGAAATCTCAGCAAAATATGAACTTTCGTTTTGTACAATCAGCAGTCTACAATTTAGATAATAATTTCTCTAGCGAACATAATTTGAAAGAGCGCACCTTCCTGCATGTTTTTGAAAAGTTATTGAATAAGACGCCTTTTCTAAAGTGCTTAAAAAAATTAAATTTAAAAATTAAATAAACAAAATATTCGATAGCCAATTTAGATCTCTACAACCGATATAAGATTAGTTTTCTCAGACAATGCTTCCTCAGTTTGTTATAATCATAATGCCAATGTCCATTCAATGACAATCACAAGTTTTAAGAACGATCTTATTTTTACAGGAGTTAAAAATTAACGCATGTAAACGCATTAATGCTTTTTAAAAACAAAAATGAGGCTTGTGTTCGATAAGGAAGTGTTCTTACTTTTTTTCTGACAATGTCGTCCGATTCCACTCAAAAAGTTCTGCTCTGTCAGGCGTATTGTAGGGAACCTAGAAACTTTCTATGCCTTCTCTTGACATGGTCATCTATGAATGTAATTAAGTGCATTAGAATTTACTATATTTCCATGAATTAAAGAATTTTAATGGATTTGAATATATTAAACTCTTAACGCGTTGAGTAGTATTGACTTTATAGGGCTTAATTATAAAAAATCATCAAAACGCGTTTAAAAACGTTTCTCGTTATTTTGATTTTAACGCGTTTAATGCGTTAAATGAATTTAATATAACATTTAAACGTGTTTTTTCTCTAGACTAACACATTAAATTATCCATTTTAATTCGTTTTAACGCATTAAGGATAGCGCCTTTCCCCTTTTTTTCTATCCTCTTAGAACCCTATTCCAGGTTCTTTTTTTTCTTTTCGAGAAACATGATTTACTTCTCGAGATATTACAAAAATTGACTAAGAGTCCCATATAAAACCTTCTCTCGCCGAAAGTTGAAATCGAAAATGCTTATAAAAGAAACGAATCTCGGATAGAGTCTGAAGTATCTGTGGTAAAAATCTCAGCTCGATCGGACCATTTTTTTTGAGTGGTCGTAAAGTGACCCGATTGAATAGTCACTGATGTTAGCATTATTTTTTCTTCGCGGCTTTCCTTTTACAGTCTGGTTTTTTTCCTATTGGTCAAAAACAGCCTCTAATGAAAAACAATTTTTTAAGAGAGATTTTCAAAGTTGCTATTAAATATATAAGTACTTCTCCACAAAAGACTCGTTATATTTCTACCGCTAAAAAGACTTTTATAAATTTGGTTTTCACGGAACCTTATGCGATCGAGTGCCCTTCTATCAAATTAAGCAAAAAAGAAGGGTGGGAGAAATGTGTTTGATTTTTGTACGATTGCTCCAAAAAACGTACCATTTAGAATTCGGCAAAAACCAGCAGAAACTTGTTTAGTTTGTAAAATGCGTTTTTGAGGATTGTTTTTGCATTTTGTAGAGAATTTAATTCTTTATTCACTGATATACATTTTGAAGCCTTTTAAGAAGCTAAGGGAAGCTGTCAAAAGTCTCATCGGTGAATTTATTCACCGGTAACTGGATTGGAGAGAAAATTGAGAACAGAATTATTCAATTTGCCTGAAAGAAAGAATATGGAACCATCGTATAATAGAATGAACATGTATGTAAGATGCACGTAATGCAAACTTAAAGTGGAATTTATTTTTGGATATATTATACATATTCTGAATCACCAGATGACGCTAATTGTGTATTTCTATCTTATCCGACTACTTTCATTTTTTTTTCGAATTTTCACATTGAAAAATTACCGAGTTTTTCACTCAAAAATGAAAATCAACTAAAAATTATGACATACACATCACGCAACTCAGTTTTTGACCCTGATTCTGAATATGATATTTGTATTGCTCAGAAGTTGAGTTCAGATCGAGAAAATTGAGAAATATGGGCAGAATTTCGAGTTTTTCGCCTCTGATTTAGAAAAAACGACTTTTTTTAGCAAGGAAAAATAATATTTTAAAAAACGTTCTCCAAAAGTAAAAAAATAAATTTCACTTTAAGTTTGCATTACGTGCATCTTATATATTCTTTTCTGTACTATACTTGACTTGATGTTTTTTTCTTTCTATGCACACTACAGAGATAGATATAAAGCAAGAAATGGAGAAAAGAACAGATTTTATCGTTTTCAGCTTTCACTTCGGGTCATGATAGTCCGAGATAATGTATGTAAAACAGAAATAAAAATGGTTAAAAGGCTAGTATTATCCATAGTCAGTATCTTCTTGAAACAGTGCTCTTAATAACCAATGAGTAAGAGTGTCAAATGATGAATAATAACTACTGATTAATTACCGTTATATTCATCATTGTATAACGAAACATTCATAATCCACGCAATAGTTCAGCTAGATGAAACTTGATGTTTTCTTCTTTCTATGCATACTATAGAGACACAGATATAGCAAGAAATGGAGAAAAGAATAAATTTTATTGTTTTATCCGTTTTTTATTTTAAAGAAAGATTCCCTTCACTATAAAATTAGTGTTTATTAGAACAACTTTCAGATTAAAAGTTAACAAATTTGAAGGTACCCTTCTCCAGTTTTTCGGCCAGTTTGTAATACACAAGTTGTACTCTATACCATGCTATTTTTTAGAAAAAGGTCTCTTTTAGTTTTTAAGATATAGAGATCTCAATATCACAGACTAAAGGTTGTAAAATGTATGGATTTCACTTTAATTTTAGAAATTGCACGAATTTGGAATGATAAACATAACTTTCTTCATCACTTTTCGGAACATCATGGTCAGAAAAGCCCAAGTTCTACTTTATTTCCAGTAAAGTCGCTACAATTAAATTGAAACGGATCCATTTTATCGTTGATATTGACAGCTCTATTCCTTAGAAACTAAAGGAACCTTTTTCTGTAGAGTATGGCAATTATATTACAATTTGTGTACTTCAAATTAGTATAAGAAGTGAAAAGGGGTCCTTTCTAATTATTCGAGGTTCCTTGTCAAAAATATCACATTCATTATTATAGAATCTGTTTGCTTTTTATTTCTTCACCTGCAGCTGTTAAAATTTTAACACTAAAAAGTTAATTTAATACGCAGTTGAAGAAAGAGAAAAAAGAAAGAACTTTCTTTGCATTGTGCTATCATCGTTGTCGTATATCTTTCTTTACATAACCTTTCTACTTATTTCTTATCAGCCAACAAACAATCATATAAAAACTTCTCATTAACTTGATATTTTCAGTTAAAATAGAGTTTCTATGTGACGATATTCGAGCATTGAAAGTTTTTTATTTCATCTGACTTCTTCTATCATACAAGTCAGATGAAATTACATATATATATATATATATTGAAAATTATAGACTATAATTTTCAATATATATATATATAAAATAGAAATCTGAGCACATGTGTATCTGACTAAACCTACAAACACATATACTGTTTTAGACTTTATCGACAGGAAAATAATTTAAATATGGCAACAGACGACGTCGAAAAACTCAAAGGTACATGGGATTATGTTGATGGTGAACATTTTGATGATTATATGAAAGAAATTGGTAAGCAAAAAATAAGCAAAATAAATACGTAGATCTTAACTAATATTTTTCTGCGTTTAGGTGTATCATTTGTGACAAGACAATCAGCTAAACTTCTGAAACCAAGACTGGTAATAAGTGAAAATAATGGAACATGGACTCTACGCTCTGAAAGTAATATAAAAACAGTTTCCTATGATTTTGTACCTGGTGTTGCATTTGATGAAACAACTCCTGATGGTCGAGAAGTTAAAGTATGTATTTACATATTAGGTGAGCCTAGTCACTCGTTATCTACTACTATCACTTCTTTTTCTTCTTAGTCAACAATTGACTTTACAAGTGGTCGATGGGTGCATAAAACGCATGATGCAAAAAATAACAAAGATTCAACTGTTGAACGTTATATTGATGAACAAGGTCAACAACAAGTGGTACGTTTTTTTTCTTCTTCTGCTCAATGAATCTAAGAAGTGATCCGTCATTCTATTTTTAGGTTATGACATGCGGCGGTGTTAAAGCACGACGTTGGTATAAACGAGCGTCATAATAAATCTATTTCACAAAGCAAAAGAAAGTTTCGCTATATGGAATATTTTATTATTTAGTATTTTAAATTGTCATGACTAGTTTACCTTTGATCTTTTTTAATAAATTATAGAATTAATTAATAACCATATCAACTATGTTTCATAAGTTAAAAAAAGGACTCCTAAATGACTAGGCTCTCTTTCTTTGCATTCTGATATGATTTAAAAAGTGGTCTCTTTTTAGAATGGAAAAGTTCGCTCATTTCTTTAGAAATAATATGTGGGGTCAATACGGAATAAAAAATTTATTCTTTTCATACATTTTGTACACTATTTCGTGTTTTAGCAGGACTAGAAAAACACAACAATTGTGTGAATTGCACTAATAATGTTCTCCGATATGTAAGATGCGCACCTGACACATCTCAGTACCCTATTCGAACATCTTGGAACCAGGATCTTGACATCTTAGATTTTTTCGAAAAGGTCTTGGCAAGATCTTTGGTACAGGATGTCAAGATATTTTTGTTCCTAAGATCTTGCCCATGATCTTGCGTACAAAATCATAAAAAGTTATCTTGTATCCAAGATCTTGACTGTAAAATGACTTGTACCCAAGATCATGGCTCAAGATCTTTGATACAGAAATATTTTGACATCTTGTACCAAAGATCTTTGAGTAACCATTGGTTATCATTCACCATCTTATTTTGGCGATGTCATCCTATATATGAATATCCTATTTTGTGTCTAATGTTACTATGTTTTCGTCGAGAGCTGAGTCAAAACTCCATGAGGGAGGCATGAGGGATCGTTCATCCTAGCGGATGAAATATTCGCCACTGAGCGGTGAATATTTTTTGCTCCCAACACTTGTTGAAAAAATGCAAAGAAAAAAAGTTATTTTTGAAATATGACGGTTTTTCAAATGTTCAAGATTTTGGGTACAAGATATCAAGAAATATCTGTACCCAAGGTCTTGGGTACAAAAATGAGATCTTGTACGCATTTTTTCAAGATCTAGTGCCAAATCTTACCGTAAGATCTTGGGCAAGATCTTGGTTTCAAGATGTTAGACTAGGGTAGTTCTTATTTTATTACTCCTTAGGCTGATTAGTACTTTCACGAACAGAAATCAGCTCTCTAGCT